GAAAACTAAGCATTAGAAAAGTATAGTACTATTATCTATTAGTAACTTAATCCATGTAAAATTTAAAAAAACAAAAGCATAGGATCTACCACATTACTTTTAACCCTAATTTAAGACTGAAAAGGGCCGGGGATTTAGCTCAGTGGTTCTGCCACCTGCCTTGCAAGCACAAGGTCCCAAGTTCAATCCCCGGTTCCCTCCCACAAAAAAAAAAAGACTGAAAAACTCTAGTTTAGCCTTAAAAGTAATTTTCAAAAAACCACTAGTATCCACAATTTGGCTAAACCAATAAATTTTAATGTATTTTTTTTTTGCTACTGGGGATCAAACTTGGGACCCTGCGCTTGTGAGGCAGGCACCAGAACCACTGGGCTAAATCCCCACTCCAAAACCAATCAATGTTAAATGTCCATTCCTTCCAAACTTCTATTCTAGGCTTTGGTAGCCTGTATTTGTATTCGTAGGCAGCCTAAACTGATTTAATTTATATTCCATCCTCCAATGGCCACAATTATAAATGCTGGTGAGGCTGGGGGCTTCACTGTTGGTAGGAATGTACACTAATACACCAGTAAGAAAATGAGTATGGAGATTACTCAAAAAACTAAAAACAGAAATTCCATTTGAGCTGGATATTTCCCAAGTATTTTCCCAAAAGAGTTAAAGATATCATATTACAGCGATACATGCCTACCCATGTTTATAGCAGCATAGTTCATAATAGCTAAATCTTGGAAGCAGCCTATACATCCACCAACAGATGAGTGCATAAAGAAAATGTGCTATTTACACACAATGGAGTACTACTCTGCCATAAAGATAAACTTGAGTCACATGTAGGAAAACAGATGCACTTTGAGATTATAATGTTAAGTGAAAGATATCAGACACAAAAGCTTAAATATCACTTGTTTTCTCTTATACGAGAAACCTGAATTATAAATGAAGAGCAAAATAAAAGATAGATAAAAGAGTTAATAGGAAGTAGGGAGATACATGTTTCTCAAATGGGAAATGCATCAAAGAGATGGAGGGGGCAGGAGAAGTGGAAAAGGGTTTTAAAAAAGAATTAAGATGTGTTATGTACATGTACCAACTCTGCACAAGGAATACAAATGCGTACTACAAATGTACTAATTAAAAGCAAAAGAAGACTTTTTTTACTGCTGTCATTTTCCCACACCCAATCTAACTATATATAATGATTAAACTATAAGCAGGTTCCTTAATATTTGTTAGTTTTTCTCTACTCTTTCACTGTCTTGAAAACCTCATCAATTTCCATTAGCCTAGTTACCATCCTTTATTCTGACTATGCCTCAGTATTTTAAAACTACAAAATATACTTCGTTATTAAACAATACCATGGGTCCCCACTGCCTTTGAAATAAAATATAAAATTCTTAGCAAAACATATATATTTCTTCATAATCTCTACCCTGCCCTTTCTGTATTTGCAAATTTTTCTGGTGTGTCCCTTTTCAAGCTTATACTACTAATAATCTGAGCTATTTGCAGTTTCTAAAATCATACTATTGCCTCAGGCTCCTAAGTCTGACAAATGGCCTTCAAAACCTAGTTTACATACCATCTCTCCTAGGAAGACTTCTGTGATTTACTTCTAAATCAGGTGACTTCCTGGGTGCTCCTACAGCACCATTTCAGTTCATCTTGATCTCAAATTTAGATATTACAACATGATTTTAAGCTTAAACTGCCATAAGCTTTACTAGACTGTAAGATCTTTGATAAGTAGGCTGGAGTTTTTTTATTTCACCATTTCCAATGCCTAATAATTCCTGAACACAGACAGGATACACACCATGAACAAAAGAATACATCCCAGATCATGACTTTTCTTTTTAGTATGTTCCAATTCAGAATCTCCATATCATTTTCTGCATAAAAAATAAAATGTTCTGGGGATGTAGTTCAGAGAAAAGGTCTGGTTCAATCCTCAAGGCTTATGAGAACTACTTCAGATTATGGTTGAAAAAAATGAAATTGGGTTAATAATTGTCCCAAATGTCACTTGGCAAATAAATTAACTAGTATAGATTTGATCTTGTGCTAATTTCACTATATACTACCTCCAAATGATACATTCAGCTTGAAAAAGTTAAAATTTTTATCATCAAGAGATTGAAAAAAAATTATGAAAATGAGACCACAATCACAATATTAAGGAGAGGAGCATTTAAATGACCTAATAATTTTAATTTTATTAATGCATTCTCTATGAAAAATGAATTTGCTGCATAAATGAAGATGAAAGAAAATAAAGATTATAACTGAGTAAAACTACTTTTGGAACACGTATTAAGAGCTGTAAAAATCTTCAGGCTGGGGAAGGCGGAGCACACCTCTAATCCCAACTACTCAAGATGCTCAGGCAGGAGGATAGCAAGTTCGTGGACAGCCTGGGCAACTTAACAAGACTGACTCAAAATGTCAAAATTTTAAAGAGGGGTTGGGGTATGTGGATCACCAGTAGAGTGCTTGCCAGCATGCAAAGGCTTGGGTTCAATGCCCATTTTGGGGTGGTGGTGGTGATGTTTCAAATATTTCTGCCCAAATTAAAATTCTACTTTCAGATTTCTACTCTAAGTGATAAAACCCTGAAAAGAAACAAAACCCCTGCACATATAAAGATCTTCTTTGCTTATTACTTACATAGAAAAAAAGTGAAAGCAAATAAACTAACCATTAGTAGAATGAATAAGTTATGGTTCATCCAATGACAAAATATTGGTGATAGTTTAGTTATGACTACCACTACTACTACTATTCAGGAAACCAGTAAAATCTTTATGACACAATCTTAAAACAGAAATGTGTATATTTATTCCATGAAAAAAATATTTATTTAGGTATAATATACTCATAAATATTTTTATTGCAAAATCTAGGCTGCTTGCTGCTGTCTTCTGCCTGCCACACCATGAACTGTTTCTCCTCTTTGATGTCCCTCTGCCATGCCCTGCATTGGAGCCAGGTGACTAGGGACTGAAACCTCTATAAGCTGCAGATCTAAGGAGCACCACTGAAGAAGAAAACAAACACCAGATACCTGAGCTGTGCAAAATTATTGAGGAACTAAAGAAATTCACTATTAGATGATGCCAAGAAGAATTACCTAAAACTAACTGAAGTTAGAGAGAAGTGAGAAGACAACACATATACAAATCAAGCAAAATTTTTTCCAACTGTGGGGAAAAGAGTGTAGTATACATACAGGTAAGTGAAGTTTATGTAATGCCATTTAAGTACAGCTAAAAAAAAAACAGGGTCCCCTCAACACACCATAGTCAAAATCTAAGATGTCCAACAAAAAGTCAAAAGTTGTTAGAGAAAAGCAAATAATCATCTATAAAGGTAAACATATTAGGATTACAGCAAACTTCTCAACACAAACTTTAAAGACCAGGACAGCTTGTAGTGAAGTATTTCAAGCCCTAAAAGAAAAAAACTTTCAAAAATATCCTAGGCAGAAACAACAAAGCCCACAAATCAAATGGATTGAATACATCAAACAAGAAAACAGATCAGCCAATTAAAGATGAGTTCAGATTCCATGAGAAGACTAACATAGTTTGCATCAGAAGAGAAAGCAATGTTTCTCAAGAATCTCAGAATGACAAAAAATTTTAAGTCAAGTAATCATAAAAATAAAACTCTGCAACCTGAAAAAAAGAAAAATCTAGCAGGAGAGATATAAAATTTGAAAGCAGAGATATAATCCCTATTTTTCAAACAGCATGTATTTTTTCACATTACTTCTGTAATGAAAAATATTATGAGAAATCCTCAGCTTTGTGGTCCTTGAATATTTTTAAGTCCTAAATTCCACAACTTAGCTTTAACATGTCAGAGAATTATATATAATTTTGATTTCCAAGAAAATTAAGGGAAAAGAATGGAAAGTTTCTTAGTCCAGTGTGGAGGCACACACCTGTAATCCTAGCACTCTGGGATGCTGAGGGAGGATTCCAAATTTTAAAAATTAAATAAAATTTTGCTGAGTGCTTAGTAAGGGTAAAACATGACAAGAACCAAATTGGGTGGGGAATTTGCCCAGTGGTTCCACAGCCTGCCTGGCAAGCACAAGGTCCCAAATTCGATCCTCAGTGCCAAAATTTAAAAAAAAAGGATCAAATGACTGCTACACTGGTTCTCCTCTCAGCCTTTGTAAACTGCCTCTGGACTGATCCCGTTTATTCCAAGATATGATAGTTAATACATAGCAAAATATAATACATATTATTTCCTTAGTTATAAACTCTAAATTAAATGAAAAAAGTTGACTTTGATCTTCAAGATAGCATTACATTTTTTTTGGTACCAGGGATCAAACTCGGGACCCTGTGCTTGCGAGGCAGGCAGCATCAACACCGAGCTAAATCCCGGGCCCAGTATTACATTTTAAGATGCTTTCACAGAAGAGATACTCAATTTATTTAAACCAGTAACTATAAACATGCCCTTCTGTTCAAATTAGGAAGTAGATGGGGAAAATTCTTATTGTAAGAAATATCCAAAGGTGGGCTTGGGATTTAGCTCAGTGGCAATGTGCCTGCCTCACAAGTGCAAGGTTCTGAGTTCGATTCCTGATACCACAAAAAATAAAAAACAAAGAAATATCCTAAAGTTATACAAAACCATGAACAATTTCCAAACTCTCAAATAACGGAGTCATAACATATCTGACTCTTGCCATTAAAACTGTTCTCATTCCTAGCAAATGAATAGTATAATATTGTATGCATTTGTAGTTTTCTGCTCTCTGCAACAAAAGTGAAAATGTTATTCCAGCAAACTTGTTTCCACAATATGGGAAAGTCGATTAAATAGCCCTTCTTTCGCTTTTCTTTTCATATTCATTTCCATTTTCTTGTTTACTCTAAGCACCCTGCTCTTGAACACACAAACAGATTGAAATGAATATACACTTCTTCCATGAAATATGGTGGTGTAAAAAGCAAGGTATAGAATGATAAAGGATGGTTCCAGATGATAATACTGGACTGAAAGTGAGCAGCCTTAGATTTTAAATACATAATGGAAATGTGTAAAGACAGTTGTTTTTAGGCTATATAATGTAAATGTTACTGAAAATTACACCTTAATTTTAAATGCCAAAGTCTAAGCAAAAAGTATCCAAACACTAAATATGTACTTACTACATTTTATAGTTAGCTCTAAGTCTTTCTTAAAATGCTAAAGTTATTCAATCAGACAAGTTTTATATTTAGGCCCACACTTAGAATTAAAATATTGGAGGAAGGATGAATTCAAAAGATATTCAGGCAAGTATTACAAACATTGGAACTGAGTGAACAATGAAATTTGAGGTATAGTAAAGGAGAAGGGTCAAAGATTATCCCATGTTATCTAGTTTTGGCAAATGAGTTGATGGTACAAATATTAACTCATTTCATGTAAGAATAGTTTTATTTCTTTTGGGGTAGCAAGGATTGGATTTGGATTTATATACTTTCAAATTTCTGGTATTTGTGAGGTTATCAAGAGATGCTTGGTAAACAGCTAGATCTGGGGCTCAGGAGAAAAATACATTCAGGAAACAGATTTGTGAATCATCAATTTACAGGCAGCTTATAGGAAGTTTTGTGATTAAATGTGATCAACAGGGAGTCAATAGAACTAAGACGGAAGAATCACCTTGGGAACACAAATATTTAAAAGGACAGACAGGTAGAACTCTTCTTAAGAGTTCTAAAAGAATCTAAAAATGAGAGGTCAAAGACATAGGGGAATATGATGAGAAGAGAAGATTCCTGGACCCAGAGAGAAAGTTGTTTCAAAAAGGAAGTTGGGGGTAGGGGTATGGGATATCAAGGAAAATGGCTCTTTCCTCATTATCTGTGTCCCCTCCCCCCATAGCAATGCTTCTAACTATGAGAGGTTAAGATTTCTTCACTATAATAATGCCCTACTTTTAACATAAATTTACAAACATTAAACTTAAAGCTAAAGGTACAAATTTTAGCAATCTAATTTTGTACCATTCCTTATTTCTTGTTCTAGTCTCCATATGCTAAAGGTCCAAAATACACGCTACTTTTTTAATTACAATGAAAAAGAGCAATACCTTATCTCACCTGCTCAGTAGAGCATTTAACCTAACAGCATTTACTAATACAAATAAATGCCATTTAATAATAATGTCAATTAAGTTGGGCAGGGTGGCATACATTCGTAATCCCACCATTCAAGGGGTTGAGGCAGGGATATAGCTGAAAGTTCAAAATGACCCTGGGCTATATAGTGAGTTCAAGGCCAGCTGCAACTATGTAGCAAGACCCTGTCTCGAACAAAATAAAAGTAATAATAATAATATCAAGTGTACTGGATTTTGGGGAAGTAACGGGTAAAAATAAGCAAGTAAAATATTCAATAATAAAGCACCTGCTAAATTTTGAGAGGAACAGCTAAGGTTGTTCAAAGTATTATTTTTAATAATATTCTGGTAAGAGTAGTATGAATGTTAAAGAGTACATTACAAACAACTTCAAAATTCAGTCACCAACTACAAATACATGCAACAACATGAATCTCAAAAGCCTTCTGCTAAGTAAAAGAAACCAGACATGAAAGACTGTACATTATATGATTTTGCTTATGTGACAGTCTAGAAAAGGCAAAGCTATGGAGACAGAAATCAGATCAGGTTGCTATGGGCTGTAGTAAAGATAGGAAACTGTTTACAAAGGGACACATGGAACATTTTAGGATAATGGAAATATTCTGATTGTAGGGGTGATGGCTGCAAGATTTTATGTCAAAATCATCTAACTGAACAGCTACATAGTAAATTTTACTACATAAATTACACCTCAATAAACCTAATTTAATTTTTTACATGTAGTCATCAAATCACTATTTTAGTTAAATAGTATTTTCAGTGTGCTATAATGTATTTCTTATTACAGTTAACTTATCTGTACTATTATACATAATGGTTCAGTTGGCAAAGAAAATTTTAAAATAAGTTTATCTTAAGAATAAAACGAGAGGACCTGGGGATTTAGCTCAGTGGTTCTGGCACCTGCCCCCAAGCACAAGGTCCCGAGTTCAATCCCCGGTACCAAAAAAAAAAAAAAAAAAAAAAAAAGAATAAAACAAGAAAGTATTTAGATACCTACCCTCTTGCAATAAACTCCCATATCTTATCCTTAATTATACTGTCCAAAGGACCAGAACAAAAAACCCTTCTTATACTTGACAGTCTAACAGCTGAAAAAGGAACTTTTAAATTTTTATGATTTCTTTTTACACCTAAGTTATATTACATATATAGTGTTAAGGATATATGAGATGTGTTTAGCCCAAAGGCATAACACTCAAGGAAGTACCTACTATATATCCAGGAAAATTGTATTTTGAAATTAACAGAATTATACTTGCCACTCACTAATCAGACTCAGAGATACAGTTTGCATACTGCAAAAAGAAAAAGAGGAAAAATGAAAGGAAATATACAGCCCAATTCCAGCTAATCAACAAAGCTTTATTTTTGAATATCTAAAACAGGACAACCACTGTACGGTCAGCAGACATAGCTCAAGAGATACAACAATAAACCAAACAAATGCTATGAAAGGGAATAAATGATCAGAAAAATGACAAAGAAAGCCATGCTTTTTATGAATAGTAATAATAATATAAACCTGGGTAGAATTACAATTTAGCTGTTATCAAATAAAAACTAAATTACATATAATTTACAGTCAGATGATCAATTTCTTTACCTGAAATTGAGAAACCACAATCCTGTCAGATAGAAGACAACTACAAGCAGGTTTTAACATACCGAAAGAGCTGCCAAATAGCAGCATTGAGAAAACTCAGTGATGTATTTCCTGGCTAGGATTAATATCAAAGATATTTTCATTTTACAAATAAGAAATTAAATATCATGAATACCAATCATAAAAATTAAGATTAAAATAAACTATAGCCTGAATAATATCTCATTAGTGTTTTGGACATTGTTACACTTAAGGTATGTAAAACAGTATTTTTAAAAATAATGGTCAAACAAAAACTTTGCATTTCAACTGCATAAGACTGCATGATTCTTTAGAACTAAGATAAGTAACCTAAATATTTACATCTAACAAAAAGGGATCCAGTATTTCAAAATTTGTTACAACTTCTGAATTTCTTGGGAAATAACAATACATAAATTTTTTAAAAGTAATTAATATTGCTAATTCTATGTTCCTGAGAGCTGAAAAAAAATGTTTCCTTTCTGACAAAAGGCAAACATATACAAAATAAAACTTTGAAGGAGTTTGTTATATCTGTGTGAAATATGTTTCATACATGTAAGACAGCAAAGCAATTTATCTAATGATATGACTTAATTTAAAAGTTTAATGTATTCTTGGGAATTTTCTTAATGCTTAACATTTTTTAGAAAAAAATAACTCAAGAGAAGCTGGGGATTTAGGTCAGTGGTTCCGCCGCCTGCCTCACAAATGCAAGGTTCCAAGTTCGATCCCCAGTACCAAAAAAAACCCAAAACAACTCAAGAATCATAATGAAATCATAAAAATAAAGTGGCTCTGCAAACTTTTCTAAAGCTATCTATTCCATAGATACATATATTTAATATATTCCAGTGCAGGGCCAGGGATTTAGCTCAGTGGCACCGTCCCTGCCTTCCAAGCTCAAGGTCCCGAGTCCCATCCCTGATACCAAAAAAAAAAAAACCTATCTATCTATATATATATCCCAGTGCATATATTTTAAAAATCTTATTTAAATGCATATTTATATATACAAACATACTTGATAGAGTAATAAGGTATTTTCAAGACCACAGTTAACCAATCAGCTGTAACTGATCAAACATTTAAGAATTGTTTTTAAATTATCTTAAGGGGGTTATGAATGGAGCTCAGTGATAGAGCATGTACTTGGCCCCTAGATCCCAGTACTACAAAGAAAAAAATTTTTTTTGATGATCTATCAATAAACCATACACTGTCTACTTTATAACCAAGACTACCCCTTTTCATCAAAAATTGTGTTATAAATTTTGAAAGGTAGTGTGGTAGGATGGAAAATATAAGTGTTTTACAATCAGATATACTGGAATTCTATCTGTAACACTTTCTAGATGTGCCACCCAAGACTTCAATTTTCATATTTGAAAAACAAAAACATTATAACTAACTTCACTGGGTAAGCTGAGAGGTACAAAGCATGGTACACAGTGTAGCTGTCAAGGCTATTGGGTAAGGCACCAACTCTGAAGTCCTTTGTTGGCTTTCTTGCACTTACTAGCTGTGTGACCTTGGGCTAATCACTTAATCATCCTATAACTCAATTTTATCATGGAGCTACCTTCATACTATTATCTCAAGGAATTCAGAAAACTGCACTTTGGAAGGCTGACACCGGAAAATCACAAATTCAAATCCCACCTGGGCAACTTAGTGAGACCCTGTCTCAACATTTAAAACAATAAAAGGAAAATTCATATAATGCCCCAGCACAGTTTCTGGCACATGGGAATCATTCAAGAATATTACATATTACAAATGTAAAAGCAGTGAACATTTAAACACAGAGCTTATTAAATATTAGTTTTTCTACTGTATTTAAAACTCAAATTTACCCCAAAAATAAGGACTCATCATAAAGAATAAGAAAAGGAGTTTTTCAAATAATGTAAGTGGTATTTACAAAAAAACTGCCTATAAGGTTATTATGTAATGGCAAAAGCTATGGATTAAGTATATAACCTCGCAAGTTGTTATCTTTGAAAAAAATCAACATTACAGTATAAATATTGGAATTAAAAAAATTATTAGTCATACTATATTATAGAGTTATCTACTATACAACGGGTTATAACCATTTCTATTAATGAAATCACTCCCTAAAGCTGAATCTTGTCTAAAAATAGATGCTTTGACAAATAATTTCAATTAAATATAAAATTTTAAGAGAAGTAATTCATAGATCTCCTAACAAAACTAAAAGATAATAAAGATCTACTGATTTCAAGAACATATATCCAGGATATATAGCCTGAATTCCATTCTAGTGTCTGATGTATATAATTTTTTTGCCTACATGACTTTTAAGTGTTGAGCAACGAAAGGAGTATCAAGATTTTACTAAAACTAAAAATGTAGAGTTCTGAATCTTTAAGAACACATGTAAATCAGACTAATCACTTACTAACTGTCACAAACAAGCCAGTTCTGGTTAGGCATGCCTGTAATCCCAGAACTCTGGAGTGGCTGAGACAGGAGCATCTAAATTCCAGCCTAGCTCTGCGATTCACTATTTAGTGACTTAGCAAAACCCTGTCTCAAAAATGATCAATAGACAAAAGGCTAAGGATGTAGTCCAGTGGAAAGGCTCTGGATTCCATTCCCAGTATGGGACACAGACACAGACACAGACACAGACACAGACACATAGACACACACACACACACACACACACACACACGAAACATGTACTCACACCCTGGGCAATTTTCTAAATCTTTCCAATCTCAGTTTCTCTTATCTGTAAACTGGAAAATAACTTTTTAATTTTTAATTTTCAGGCTTACTAGAAGAAGTAAATGAGATAATACTATGGGAACAGTTAACACAATTCCTGCAAATAATAAGCTCTCAAAATCTCCCCCCCCCCCAAGTTTGATCCCCAGTACTCCCCCCAAATCTTATGGGGAAAAACCTTATCTGGCAATGCTAGTAAAATAATCAATCTCTCTTAATATCATTTTGGAAACAGAATTATGCCTTGAGACAACGCAAACTTACAAAACTCAACCCATTAAAATTAATTCCAGATTTATACCAAATCAAAATTATATACAAGAGAAATACCTCACATCACTTTTTTTGGTACTGGGGATCGAGCTCGGGTCCTTGCGCTTGCACCGCAGGCAGCGAAACCACTGAGCTAAATCCCCGGCCCCCTCACATCACTTTTATTACTTATGTAGGTAAAATATTCTGAGCACATAAAATACATTTTATAATTACAACAATGGCCTTCAATTAAGAGATATGGTTTAAAAAATGCTTTAAAATCAACTAGAAACACTAAAATTCACTCTAGTAATTTTTACATAAAAATTTCAAAATCTAACATTTCAGGAGACATTAATATCATTTACTAACAATATGGTTACTCACGTATACGTCTCTGTAGGGACATACAAAAATAAAGTCATTCAAACACCAAACACATATATACAAGGCTGCCAGGATTTCTAATATAAAAGTTCTACTTTCTTCACAGGAAAACACAACCAAGAAACAGGTATCATTTCTCTCAAACATGAAAAAGTAAAAAAGGGAAAGTAACTTGAACTCAGATAATTGAAAAAGTCACAAATGATACCAGTGTCAGCAATGAGCAACACCTACCTTCAGAAACAAAGCTAAAAAAAAAAAAGAATTATATAATTGTTTGCCGAGGATTTAGCTCAGTGGTTTCTCTGCCTGCTGTGCAAGCAAGCACAAGGACCCGAGTTCGATCCCCAGTACCAAAAAAAAAAAAGAATTATAAAAACAAAGCTCAGACATTTCTTAATGCAACATAATCTAATTTAAAAAACTAGTTAAGTGTCAGGGAAACCCTTGCTCTTCAACTGATTCACTCCAGGAATCTACCCAAATCACATGGTCTTTGGGTGTCAAGTTTTTTGTCAAAAAATAGAAGTCATGCTGGTCATTTCTCTCACAGAAATATGAGAATATTTCTAAATGGACTCAGGTCACCTTGAAGAAGGACCGGTTTAAAAATACAAAAGATTATTATAAATGACAACTGTTGAAAAGAAGAAAAACTTTGCTTAAAAAGTACTCTTTAATGATCTTTGAAGGCTGTGAGGCCATAAATTGCCACCAAAGCCAATTCACTGTGCTAAGGATATTAAAATAAGCATCTTCAACTAAGTAGCTAATCATCAGGCTTCTATATAGGTACTTACCAGTACTTTCCTATTTATATTATGGCAAATAAATGTGACAGAATTAAAACCACATTTCTCTAAATAGAATTTTGTTTACCTCAGATCTCCCAATCACCTAATATAAAAGTGAAATTATTAAAATTTTAGAATTATTTACAAATTCTGCTTTTCCTAATAAGCAATAGAAAGAAAAGTTAATAAAATTACATAAAATTCAAACTTAATTTTTATTTACTCTACTATTATGCATCTGATTTTGAGAAAGCAGAAATACCACAATAGGCTATGTCAAAATCTAACACAGGCGGTTCAGATAGACAGCTTGATGATTGACTGGTACCAAAAAATTAAATATGAAATTAGTTTAGGAAGCCTGAGAAAGTACATGTTTTTGTCTGGTACTCCAGCCCCCCCCCCCCCCTTCCTGCCCCCTGTTTTCATGTTTCAGTGATTTGGTTTTGCTTATATTTATGAAATTAAATAATGATCATTATGCAGAGCCAAAACTGTTTACTACTATTGTCAAAAGTTTCACTTTTCATCCCTAAAGAGAATCTCAAATAGTTTTTCTTCAAAAATATTTTCTTAAATGCAGACAGTAGTATAATCAATCTAGCAATGGTTCAAAAACGCAGTCAAATAACTTCAGTAAAAAAATGTTTGAATGGCTTTGAAAACAAAGCACTCTATATATCCTTTCCAAAACACTAAAGATGATTATTTAATGTTCAATGTGAATTTACTAGATTTTCATTATTTACTTTAAAAGTGTCTTTAAGTTAAATAATGTAACCAAAGTTATAAGGATACTGGAACACTTAATGTCTGTCTTTTTTCAATGACTTTTTTTAAAAAAGGAAATACTGTACAAGGCTAGCCACTGGTGGAACACAAATCATCCTCTCCAATTAAGCTGTCAAAAATTTAAAGTTCAAGTTTAAGTTTTCAGTTTTCACTTTTAAAAATGACCAATTTAAATGGTTTAAGCCAAATGACAAGCATTTTCAAATGTACTTTAAGGAAATGTTTATGGTATCTTAATGAAAGCTATCACACAACCTGTATTAGATATGTAGAATTATTAGATATGTAGAATTGGGAAAATAAAAAAATAATTAACTGTAATCTAATTCCAAAGTCTCAAGAAAAAAAAAATCAAACTGATATTTAACACACTGAGTCAATCATCTGCATAGGGTTCCCTTCACAATGCTCTAAAAATAAACTGCTTCTGATGAAACCTAAAGAACTGTTCTTTCCATCATCTTTAGTGGAAAATGCCCTCATCCCTTGACAAACATCATAGTGTTTTAATGAAATAAAAGTTGTAAAGACAACCAGGAACACATGAAGACCTTTTAAACATTAATAATGACGCTCTTACCCCCCCATGCCCCCCCCAAACCCTCAGTTTTCTCTTAAAATGTGAAGAGTTCCTCCCTTATGCATTCCCTCCTTGGCATGTCCCCCACCCTCACCCCCCCCACCCCCCCAGGCCTGAGGCCCCGCTGCAAACAGTGTCTAACAGGAGCAGGCAGCACAAAGACAGGAATGGGAGATTAGTGGGAGGGAGGGAGGCCAGGATTGGGGCTCAGCAGGAGCTTCAGGCTTTTTAAAATTCAAACTGCTCCCTGACCAATACAAATCACGGACACGCTACTGACTACTACACGGATTTATAGCATTAAAAACATGCCTAGTACGTGACAGCTATATTAACTTCACTCTTTCTAACATTTATCTGTATGTAGAAAATATGAAACAATTTGTTGTAAGCAGGATGCTAAACTCAAAAATAAGGTTCAGAAAAGTTACTTATTCAACAGTGACAATAATAATTTAACAAGAAACAAAAAATTTCGAACCAGTGTAACAACCACTAGTAGAACAAGGAACTTTATTGAGCAGTGTTATTTCATTTTAGCCAATGAGGGTTGTCCCTTCGCTGAATATGAAAGAAAGTATCGAAAGAGTTTAACCGAGGTATATTTACAGTATTTTTCTATGTAACTTGTATGACGGAAGACTTTTAAACTGGCGATTTCCCCTTTTATCAACCTACATTATTAAGGCCTCCATAAACAAGTTCTCAATACTTCTCGTGAACTAGAACTTCTTAAGATAGAACTGATATTTTTCTTCAGCATTTACAGACACATTTGACCTATTAAAACGACACCTCTCTCATTACACAGTCAAACATCATGGCACAAACAGCCAATGACAACCCTGGGACCTAAAGAAGATCTGCTCTGACAAGAAAGGATGGCACCTTTCTTTTTAAAAAAAAACTCTCAAAGATTGTAAGTATTACTTAATTCCTCTCTTCTTAAAGAAAATTCGTTTTAATCCTTATCTCAGTACAATGCTCAGAACATTTTAAATTCTTTGTATGCTTGTACATGTTTGGGTCAGGAAGTACCTGAGTGCTTTATGCACGGTCGTTTAAAATTGTCCTTACATAACGCATACAAACATAAAGTGGCAGAGTAAACCTGTCAAGTACTTTATACTTGTGTTTGAATTAAAAGTCCATGTGCAACACACACTGTCAAACAACAGAAAAGCTCTTCGGGGGGTAGGGGAGATAGTCACTTATATGTTATGATTTTCTATATTAAATATTGATGTGGATGATTTAATCCTTTTAAAAAGAAAATGACTCTTTACTAACTTTCTAACGTCCAAACAAGTTTTACAAAGAGAAAGAAATACCACCGTTTTCGCGTCTGAGTATTTACATTTGCCTCACTAACTGAAACTACTTCCTCCCTTCATGGGGTCACAGGGGGAAGAAGGGGGGTTGTTTGTTTCACTGGGACGTTCCCCACTCCCGGACCGGGAAAGTTGTAAATATGGGGACGATCGGAGCACATTTGCTGTTAGTTGTATTGTTTCCGCCTCCTCACTAGCTACGGCTCCTCTCCCGGGCGAGGCCTGTCACCGACCAGCAGCCGCTCCGCTCAGCCCGGCGCTCTCCTAATCCCCGAGCTCAAGTAGATTCCGCTGGCCCGCGGCCTGCACTCTCCGCCGGGCCTACGCCTCCCCGGCTGCCCGGCAGGAGCCCGGTCCCCACCGCGGGAGCCGGCCGAGAGAGGGTACAAAACCACCGCCACCCAGGGCGGCTGCCACCAGAGAGGAGCGAACTCTCGACTCGCCCGTGGAAGAGACCTGGGGCCGCTAAGGAAACGGCGGGGAGGGGAGTGAGGAGGAGAGACGCTGAGGACCTGGCGCCGCCGCCGCCGCCGCCGCCGAAATAAAGAGCAGGAATTTACCTGGGCGAATCGGCGTCTGAATCCAAGAGGAGGCCGAGGCCGCTGTGGCGAAAGACTATAATCCGGGCCGAGAGGGGGGGTGGCTACGGCTCCTCTTCCGTCTCCTCAGTGCGGGGAACATGTAGAGCCGGGGGGAGACCAGCCGAGAAGACAAATCGCTGCTTCTTCTTCCTCCTCCTCCTCCTTCTCCCACATAGAAACACTCACAAACACCCGACCAGGGGCCCGAGCTACCGGGGGGGCATCGCCACGGGCCCAGGAACCAATCCTCCTGTCGGCGGGGGCGTCCCTCCCTGCGGCTTGGTGGTGTCGGGTGAGTCGGTACCGACGGAGGGAGGGGGGGAGGGCGGGGGGAAGGAGCCCTGTGTGTCTCTCTCTCTCTCGTTCCGTCTCTCCCTCTCAGAACAAAATGCCGACCGGAAGTGCAGCTGCAGGAATGACTCCCTCCGCCGGCGCCAAACACTAACAACCACCCCCTCTTCCCCACTCCACTTCCGCCACCGCCGCCGCCGCTGCCGCTGCCGCCGCCGCCACTCGGGCTCACGTCTCGGCCGCGCCGCACCGTACCGCACTCGGGCTGGGCCAGGACGGCGGTCGCGCGACAGCAGCTCTCACTCTACGGCCTCCTCGCGGCGGCCGCGGAGAGTGGATTTTGCGGAGCGGCGTCTGCGGCGCGACTCGAAGGCTGGTTCTCCCCGGGCTTTCTTTTCCTCGAGGCCGACCGCAGCGGGGCCCGAGTTTGGTGGCGGTCGTGTGCGTGAGGGTCCTCAGGCCCAGGGCGCCTCGCTGGCCGCGGACGGCGGCGGGCGGAGACCGCGCTCGGCGCCCCTGCTCGCCGTCATTAGCTTTAGGGAGCTAGGCTTCGGGCCGCCACGCAGAGGACGCTAGCGATACGACGGCGACCGGGCATTTTTCAAATGTTTCCCTCAGCCGGGTGGATGGATATATCGTACACCTTTTCTCCTTTTAAGAGGCCGGACTTCACGCCTGTCTGTGTGTCATTTCTGCGGAGTAAGAGCACAACCCTCGGAGGTGAAGATGACTCCCAGCTGCATCGGGTTGGAATCGATCGTGTTTGTGATGTATTTATTTCTGGAAACGGGCGCTCGCTGCTGGACTTGCTTTTTGCTGCGGTGGTTTTGATTTCTCCCTACCGGGATGAGGCCTGTAGGCGACGCTGTTCGAGCTAGGAGCGGTTTGCGGCGGAGCCGAGTCCGGCGCCCGCGTCCGGGTGTGGGTGGAGCCGAGCGCCGGGCCCGGGCAGAGACTGCAGGCTGAGCTTCCTCTGCATTGAAACCGAGGCGCCGGACGAGGCCGGAGTACAAACTGATGATGCGTACTGTATCAGGCCCTTGGTAGTCGCTCACTGTAAAGCAAGGAGTGGTTTCAGCGTTCCACAGTTCTCTAAAGTTTATTTGTGTAAATGAAAAGGGGGCTGTTCTTCAGGTAAAAAGTGCAGTAGGTAAGCAGACTTTATTCAAACAGGCCGAAATTTGTGGTTTTTTAGTGAATTCTGTTAAGTCAACCTTAATTGTATTGTGTATGTGCATGTATACCAGTGCGCCGCAAGTATGGGAAAACTTGCCTGCTTTCAGGTTATCCCTTGCCTCAGAAATCATTTTGCTGTAGTCCCTGCTACAGTTTCCTGTGGAGGTCGGAAAGGGGCAAAAGCTAAAGCCTTGACATTGCCCAGAGGCGCTGGAGCGCTGGAGGTGAGAGTGAGAGGGACCTACCCTAGCATATTTGCAAAGAGGGCTCTACCTTGATACTCTCTGCCACGCTCCTTCCCCAAGTATTCATAGGGCTCTCTGCCGCATGTTTATAGAGTTTTCTTCAAATGTCAGGTGAGTGTTTCCACGGCCACAATTTAAACTGCAAATTCCCTGGTTCCCTTCTCATTTTATCCCTTGGACATTCCACGTATCTTTCTTGTTTATCTTTCTCTCCTTCCCGAGTAGAATGTAAGCTCCAAGAGGACAAAAGGTTTGGTTTTTGTCCACTGGCGTTTTGTCCAGCCGCATAGATGTCGTGACACCCTCTCCTCTCCGTTTCTGAACTCTATCCTTTAATGTGTACTTAGATATGCCTAACATATTTATATGCCACAAACAACTTTGTGGAAGGTGGTGAAAACTGGAAAAATGCAAGTGTGCTACAGACTTCTCGAAAAAGATCTCTTCTAGACATTTGAAAACCCACAAACCAGTGATACGACTTGCTTTTAGGTTTCTGAAAAAAGGCAAGGTGGAAGGAGTACAGTAGTGTAGTAGATCATATGATCATATCCCTAGTAGGCCGAATCATTTTGTTTTCTTCATCCTGTTCTCTCCCCAAATACATGTTATTTTCAATGAACTAAAAAGTCCGTGAATTTGGTTGGCTCTGCCCAAATCCAACATCGATGGAAAAGTTCATTCCCTTCATTATGCACAAACTGTGTAGTAGGCACAGTGATTCAAAGGTATTTGTGTCTGCAGCTAGGAGGCCTTACGTAAAGGGCTACATATGGCTACTCTGGTTACCTGTTTCTCAATTATGCTGTCAGATATAGCAAGAACTAGATTTATTTTTACAGTTTTCTGAAGAAAAGGTTCAATGAAAGGTGAGGTCAGGCTTAGTGTGGCTGTTTTAATTCACCATTTGCTGTTTATTTACATTTACCTACCTTATAGCACTTGGTATACCAATACTTGAAAATGATTTTTAAAAACTATAAAATGAAGGTAAGAAATATTTTTTGGTGGCTGGATAAATAGCCTTTTAAATTAAATAAATATACCAGTACATTAGAAGCTATGCACTAACCCTTTAGCTATGTTACACTGTTACACATTTTCATTTTATTTACTGAATTTTTGCACAAAAATCAGTATGTTATAACCATTAATAACAATTAAACATTGTTTAGTAAATCCAGTAGTCTACTCATTACAGGTTTACGAATTAATCTTAAAAACAGATTTAAGTAACATACATATTACTCAGAATACCTTGTTCACTGTTTCAAAATACCATCATTTGAGTTTGTTTATGGAAGAGCAGTTATCTTCCTGTATACTTAAATGTTACGGGTGATCTAGTAATTTTGTATGTCTAGGTAACACTCTGTAGTGTAAACTCTTGGCATTACTGCAGAAGTTAATTTTTTTTTTTTTTTTTTGGTACCAGAGATTGAACTCAGGACCTTGAGCTTGTGAGGCAGGCAAAGTGCAGAAGTTAATTTTTTAATTTAAAATTTAAATATTTAGTTTATTCCCTCACTTAAATACATATTGAGAACCTATTAGGTGCTAATTAGCTTTCTGCTAGGTGCCTCATATAAAATAATAAACGAAAACAAAGTCACTGTCTTTGAGGGCTTTTATTTGTATGTGGTTCAAACCAGTTTTTGCCCCAGGTATAGAATTAAAGAAATTGTTTCAATGCCTATCAGTATTCCCCCATTAAATCAGTTAATATTTTGCTTCCCTAAATTTTAAGTATCCAAATTGAGTTCTTACATAGAATCAATAGTCATGTTTTCTTAATTTCATACTTTTTTTCCCTCTTTTGCTTATTGTCCTCAACACCATCAGTTCGTTTTACTCTTACGTTTTTAAAACTCTAATGTCCAACATCAGTTGACTTTTCGTGACATATTTCATTGTTATATCTTTAACTTGTCAATTTTTGTTTGGAAGGTAGCCCAATAAATCTTTAATATGACCTAAGATTGCCTTCTTTCTTTAAGGAATAAGTTGTATAACTCAGTTTTACTTGCTGAGAATATTTCTGGATATTCTCATATGTAGTTTTGACCACTGGATTGCAGATTTAAATTTACAATTTTAAATGGATTTAAGTATTAACTACCTGTATTAAATGCCATTACCAAAAATTGGTACAAATGAACAAATTATGAATTCTTATTTTTATTGAAGAATATTTATCTTAAAGATAAATGCAGCTTCCCATAGTGATGGGAGTAAAAAACAAATCTTAGAAAAATCATCTCACTATACTTGTTACTTATCCTTGTTAGTGATAAAATTATCTGTAATAGGAACCAAGTTTTAAAATATAGAAAAAAACAAGTAAAAGATACTGTATGAATGTTTTTTATGTTATTTTAGACTATCAAAATTATTTCACATTTAAGATACATTACTTTTAAGATAACAAACTGTTGAAAAGTTAGGGATGCTGCTTTTGAGCTCAGAACTATACAGTTATCAGATGACTTAACAATCTGTAAATATGTTACTGTTTCAAGTAAGTACCTTAATCAAATTTGCAATAGTGTGTATGAAGCTTATTCCACATATTTGGTCAATTTTTGTTAAGAGTCTAGAAATGAATTTTTTTTCTCCTATGAATGTCTTTATTCATTTTGGCCTATTTTGGTCTTCAAGAATAAGCTTTATCCTTTTATTAATCCTTCTGACCTGTAATTAAGAATTTTCTCTACATTTATAGATTTTTTAATCCATACTATTCATTTATGACCCTATGACTTAACTGTATCTGTTTTTTTGTGTGTGCTTTATATTTCTAAATCAGGGTAACCAGTTACTTACACTACAAGTTTCACTGAGCAAGGCATAGGGTAAGGCCCTCAAAGAAATGCATTTCTGAAATATGATTTCCATATAAAGTTATTTAAGGCCATAAATCTTCATGAAAGTCTAATCTTCATAAAACTTACACATATGCTGGATCTGAACCAGAAAGTTAAACTATACATGTATTTTAATACTGAATTGTTCTAGGCAAACATTCAAAAGTGATCTTATTTATGAAGGAAGAATATAAAACATTAAAAATTTAAGAGATCTGCAGTTGGTATGAAGGAACCTTAGGATGCTCATTTTAACCACTCTTTCACATCAGCTTGTCAAAGCTTCTGCTCTAGATCAGTATTTTAAACTATTGTTATGTATCATTACACATCATGAAATTAATTCAGTGAGTTTTCTAGCATTTTGTATTTAAAATATAGAAAAGAATAAAAAAATCTGAGTACATCGCATATGGTAAGATATGATTAAAAAAACATTTTGTTTATGTGTTATGTGTGCTGGATTACCCTGAAAATATATTTCTTACTGTGAATTGTAGGCAAAAATGTGGGTTTTTAAAAAATCTACAGTTCAGGTATTCCTTTACTTACCCCTTAGAAAATGGAAAAGAGGAATGTTAGAAATTTCTGATTGCCTATAAAATAGTGAATTGTAGAGGAGGCACCAGGATATTTTAGGAATTTGACACTGGTTTCAAAAAGGTAATCTAGGAAAGAAACTATATTGGTAAAAAAGTCAAACATGATTAAAGTTAGGAGAAATTACTTTCCCAGTAGATCTACATTTGGTACATTTAGATATATGACTACTATATGATCTATTGGAGCATATTTTCTAATCTAACATTTCAGATACAGCAGAATAATAAATATGAAGCAAAAGATGTTTCTTTTTCTTCTTTTTTTTTATGGTACCGTGGATCAAACAGGACCTTGAGCTTGCAGGCAAGCACACCACTGAGCTAAATCCCCAGCCCAAAAGATGTTTGTTTCTATTCTCAGCTTCCCTTCAATTTTAAAACAAGTGTTTATTAATTAGTTGTAGGAGAGCAAAACAAATTACGGTCTTTTACAGAGTAATTATAAGAACAAGTTACTCCTTAAAAATAAAACAAAAATACCCATAAACTTTCAATGAAGTTTTTCATCCTAGCCAAAGTACATCATTTAAGTTGTTAACTCTCACTTGTCATTTCACTTATTCTACATGTTTCAATAAATGTACTTAAAATTTAAAAGGAAGAAACTTAAGGAAAGAATTGTGTACTGGATTTAAAAAAAAAAGGCTTATTGGATGAATAGAATGAAAAAACTAAAAGGATTATATCATACTGAAATACTTTAATAAAATTTATGCATTTCTTACTGTTTACTTGCTATGTGTAGATTTCAGTAGGGTAGTGTGAAGTCTATTTAAGAGAGCATTAATATTTTATTGGAAATGTTAGGGCCGGGGATTTAGCTCAGTGGTTCCGCTGCCTGCCCCGGCAAGCACAAGGACCTGAGTTCGATCCCCGGTACCTAAAAAAAAAAAAGAAATGTTATGCCAGGACCTTTCAATGATAGCTACATAAGTTCTAGCTTTGTTAAAACATTAGGTATATACAAACTTTACTAGAGAACTAACATAAACATCTCTGAATTATTGAACCAAAGATATTTTACCCCTAAATTTTCACCACAGCAATACATACCCTAAGATGGGAATTATATTACTACCAGCAGGGGGAGCTAAGTCAGTCTTGAAAGGTAGGCATCTAAAGGAAGACCACATGACTTCCTGTTTTGAATTTAACTGTTGTTGCAGCTGTTCTCTTTCTGAGTTTACCAAAAAGCAATAAAACACGAAGGGCTACAAATACATTAAATGTGGGTAGGGTGACAGGCTTTTTTGTTGTTTTTGGGGGGAGGTGACAGATTTAACTGTCAAAATTATCTTGTACAAAGCAAATAGGAAAAAACATCCTGTTCAAATTAAGGACAGCCCAAGGAAGGGTATTTGGCATCAAAAATAATTGTTAAAACCATTTGTTAAAAGCTGAGCAAGTAAAATATGCAAACATTAAGATACTGATTTTCTACTCTGGGTGGTGAAATGTGAATTAAAACAAAGAAGAATGTTTATTAACCATTTAGCAAGTGAAATTCAAATAGAATTTAAACGTAGAAATGTCTCAGTATTTAAGATGGAAAAAAGGAAAAAAATAAAGGCTATGATGAATTGCTCTCCAGGTGTAACAGCATTTCTTATTCCATATTTATTTGAAGCTGAAATTGGGTTCTAAATAGGCATATTTTAAAATTATAAAGTTGTATAAATTAGATTGAGTTTATATTGAATTTATATTTACTTAATCTAAAAAATGGGTAAATTAATAGAAAATTATTACAGTGAATACTGAAGTGCTTTTTCACAATAATAACAGAATAGAATTGTTTCCACTATTCCTTATAAATGCAGCAAAAATGTACTGTTTTATGACAGGTGTTTGGAGGAGTATACTAGCTCAATGATAATTATATTGTCAGCTCATTTAATATCTGTTAAGAATCTCAAAATGCCTGATAGAATGAGTGTGTACTGAGTAGACAGATAAGGTCTACTTACTGTGTGAAGTGGGACTATAAGAGCTGAGTGTTAGCTAACTGCATCAAAATAAAAAACTGAAAAATACATTTTTTAATTATAATGCATTGAATTATGGTAGCCTCAGCATTTACTAATTTTGTGTGTGTTGTTTTTTTTTTTTGGTACTGGGTATTGAACTCAGGACCTTGCACTTGGGAGGCAGCCGCCAGAACCACTGAGCTAAATCCCCAGCCCTTACTCATTTTGTAGAAACACTTCAAAACACGGCAATGAATTTAGGCAAGTTTTAGCCACATGTACATTTATTCATGTGTTTATTCATTTCAAAAATTATTTCTTGAACACTTGTACTTCCATAGGACATGAAGTGCCATCTTCATTTTCTATTACAGAAAATTCTTTAATCTTGTTGAAATACTTTATTTCATTAATAACAGTCATAAGAATTCAATATGCAATCACTGACTCCAAAAACATGGTACTGAGAAGCAAATCATTTAGTAGTGAGTAGTGAGTGCCCCTGTAGGGCAGTTCTTTTTAAAATTATAATGTACTGATCTTATTTAATATATTTGCAGTTTTTATCATAGCAATGACATCCAAGACCAAATTCATCACATATCACTCCTAGAGGAATTTTAATGCCAAAAAAGCAAAACAGGAAATACCCTATTTATGTGCTTCCTTAACATACAAGTTGTGATGAATATAATATAGGCTACTATAGTTGTATAAACAGCCTGATCTTTTAAAGTTTGTTAATGTCTCCATGGAAAAGTAGCTATAATGACTTTTTAAAAAATTACATTAATAAAGTGGCAATAGCCTTATCATGAACCATTCCTTATTGATAGGTGTAATTCCTTATTGATAAGTTAATGCCAATAAAAGTTCAACAACTAATAATTTTGTCATTGAGGTCAGCCCTTCAAAGTCAATGTGGCATAAAAATTCCTAGTTTTATCTAGTTTTTATTTAATAATTTAAGACTGGCTATAACAATAAACTTGCCACCAAAGGAAGGAAAAAAAAGCTCATACCTTGTCTTATTCTAGAGAAGAAATGGCAACATTAGGAAGAGAATCAAAATGACCTCAAGGGACAAAATGAAGAGAATAAATAAGAGTTTCTTTAGCCCTAAAAAATTACAGAAATTTATACACAAGAATATTACTTTAAACGTTCTTTAGACAGTTAAAAGTATTGTTTTTCTCTTTGAAAACATCAAAACCCAAATTTCTTTTGTAGTCATGTTTCTAATTTATCAACTGTCTTACTGTGTTAGAGTTGGTACTCTTTCAAAAATCACTACTCTGAAACGAGGCATGGTGGTGCACACCTGTAATCCCAGCACTCAGGAGGCTGAGGTAGGAGGATTGTCCCAAGTTCGAGGCCAGCCTGGGCTAAATGGTGAGTCCAAGGCCATCCTGCACTACACAGTGAGACCCTGTCTCAAAAGCCAAAAGATAAAAATCATCACTCTGATGTAGCTTTCTCTGTGTTACTTTCTTCTAAATTCTAAAGTCAACATTCATTAGCTTTCTCCAGTACATTGAGATGATTAGTCATGATAATATCTAGACACACTGTTTAAGTTTTCCTTGTATTGAGGCAAACTCTAACTTTTGCTTGAGGTAAGGAGAAATAGTTTGCATTATGAATTTGGAAGAGCTATGGTAGTACTTGACAATATATATGCAAAAATATTTTCATTTAAAACCTATTGTACATCTTACAGACCTGTAAAAATTTTTGAATGTCTTCTTTGGCTACAAGTTTAGAATTGATAATGGCATGTTTAATTTTACATTTATAATAAATCTTTTGGATTTTAACTCTACAGTATTGCTATAAAAACGTATCTGTGAAAACAGGCTCTAACTTTAAGGAATGCTGACTAGAAAACTATTTTGACCATGATACAATTATTCAGCACAAAAAATTATATGCCTCTGAATAGGTAAGTCTCTAATTCTCTATATTTTTAGGAATATTTCTGTATTAATATTAAAGGTATCAGAGAATATGTGCACCTCAGAGAACTTTTAAATTTGTGTATGCAAACTTGCCAGATAAATTGATCTTTAAGACTATATAACATTCTTATTACTGTAAACTAATGAAGATTAAACAAGCATGTGCCTAGCACCTGTATACTGGAAACATGAATATAAAAATAATAACCTGGTCCTTTTCCTCATAACTCAAAATCCAGAAGACTAAGTGAAATATATTTTAAACAGTGGGATAAATAAAGGATAATAAATTGTATCAAAAGAGATATAAAAGTGCCAAAGATACATAGAAGTTTTGACAAAAACTTCATAAGAGATAAATTTTGAACATTAGTGAAGAATAATTTTCCAAGCACATAACGGAGCTAGGAAAGAAATTAGTCATTTTAAGGATAGGGAAGAATATATAAAGACATGTAGGTACATTAGAAAGTTTGTTTTAATTTATAATCTGGAAATCAGTTTGGGTGGAATGAAAATTAGATAAAAAAATTATACCCCACATAGGTAAATATGGAAAATTTAACATAAAAAAGAATCACTACATTACTGAAAAAAGAATATGTAATGAAAATGTGGTGAGGCTGGAAATTTCATACAATTTAGAAATTTGTATTTAGTTGCTAAAAATGTTCATACTTTTTCTTTCCCTTCGCAGTGAACTACATCCCTAGCCCTTTTTGTATTTTGGGGAGGACAGATGCACTTAGCTACATCCCCAGTCCTTTATTTTTATTTTGAGACAGGGTCTTGCTGAGTTGCTAAATTGCTCTGACTGGGCTCAAACTTGCCATCCTCCTACCTCAGCTTCCCAGATTGCTGAGATTACATAAAATCCCTACTGATTCATCCCAGGGATGCAGGGATGGTTTAACATAGGCAAATCAGTCACTGTAATACACTACATCAATAGAGCCAAGGACAAAAACCATGTGATCATCTCAATAGATGCAGAAAAAGCATTCGACAAATCCAACATGCATTTATGATAAAAACCCTATAAAAAATTGGAATAGATGGTCTCTACCTCAATCTGATAAAAGCCATCTATGAAAACCCAACAGCCAGTATCGTACTAAATGGTCAAAAACAAATCTTTCACACTAAAATCAGAAATAAGACAAGGATGTCCACTATCACCACTCTTGTTCAATATAGTTTTGGAAACATTAGCCATGGCAATTAGACAAGATAAAGAAATAAAAGGAATAAAGATAGGAAACCAGGAAGTCAAATTACCATTATTTGCAGATGACATGATACTCTATATAGAAGACCCCAAGAGTGCCACCAAAAGTCTTCTAGACTTAATAACCAAATTCAGTAGAGTAGTTGGACACAAGGTCAACACACAAAAATCAATAGCTTTCCTCTACAAACAACAGACTCCCTGAAAGAGAAATAGGGCAAACAGTTCCTTTTACAATAGCATCCAAAAACTGAAACACCTAGGAATCATCCTATCAAAAGAAATCAAAGACTGGCGGAAGATGCCGAATCAGCCCGCTGCAGACAGGCAGGTCTGCCCACACCCTACTGAGGTGCCCAGTTGCGTGGAACACACACCGAATCAGCCCGCTGCAGACAGGCAAGTCTGTGCACGCCCTACCGAGGTCCTGAGTCGCGCAGAAGACACCAAATCACCCCGCTGAAGACAGGCAGCCACCTGATTCCACACTACAAAGACGCAGAGGACACCAGACCACCAGACCAAGGTACTGAGTCCCACTGTTCCCGGCCCAGAGG